GGGGGGGGGGGGGGGAGGGGGGCAGTGCAGTGCCCTGAGGGCTGGCTGGGGTTTGGAGGTGAGATGTGGAGAGGAAAAATTGCTGCTGAGCTAGGCCTGGGCTTGTCACCTCCACCTTATCCTGGAATTGGTGAAAAAAGGGGAAGTGACCACAGTGGGTGTGGAGGAGGTGTGTTTCAGGGTCTGTAGCAGAAACTACCGGAACTTGAGGAAGTCTGCTGGATAACTGCTCAAGGGCTTTCTGTTTTGGCTGGGATGGTGGGTGTGGTTGGAGGGGTGTGAGGGTGGGAGGGGAGAGGAACTTTTCACCTACCAGGGGAAGTCAGGATTGCTTTTCATCCAGAAAGTTAGAGCCCCTGGAGGGGAAGTAAGGCCATAAGCAGGTGGAGCTGTGTGTTTCATCACTCTCTGCGGCCAGGCCCTGTCCTGGGGCAGGGGGTTCAACCCTGGCCCCTTCCTTTCTCAGGACCCTTCCCCAGTGGTGGTCATCCTTCTGGGAAAGCAGGTGTTCTCCTGGGAGGGTCTGGAGGGTAGTGCTGTGAGGATGCTGTACCAAGGCTGAAGGTCCTGATGGAGCTGTATAAACGCTCCTTAAGGAAGGGGTCGAACCCAATCTGCCAGTAGCTCTGCCATTGGCACCCCTGGGGTCCTGCAGCCTTCCCAGCCAGACAGGGAACTTTTTTGTCTGGAGTTTGTTGGTAAGTGTCTTTGCCCCAGGTCCACCCTCTTGCACCCCTAGATAACCGTCTCCTAGAGAAGGCTGAACTGCTGGCCCGGTTCTCAGACAAGCTGCAGCCAGAGCCAAACGATGTCACTCCTGCTCCCCAGCAGGGCCCTTGGTGAGTGCATGCCTGCTTGTGGTTGTGGTCACAATGGGCTGCCTGTGCCTAGGCCCTGCCCTCACTGCCTATGCTGGGTCCATTCTCTCCCTGGCACCTCATTGGCCCCTGTCTGCTACCCGGGGGGAGGGGTATGTAAGCTCTTCAGCCTTCCCCCAGGCCAGCTGCTTTGAATGTCCTTCTCTCCTACCCATCTCAGTCCATATCTGCATTTGTCCCATCTCCTTCCCTTCCCACCCCCACACTCATCTTTTCCCCTTTTCTGTCTCTATCTCTCTCGTCTTTAAAAAAAAATGTTTTTATTGATTTCAGAGAGAGGAAGGAAGAGGGAGAGAAACATCAACGATGATAGAAAATCATTGATTGGCTGCCTCCCGCACACCCCCTACTGGGGATTGAACCCCTCACCAACTGAGCCTTCCCAGCCAGGACTGTATCCCTAATTCTTTACCGGATGCCTACAGAAAGGGTCTTGCTACCTATTCCGAAGAGGGAGTGAAGATGAGAATCAAGAATGGGTTGGGGCTCAGAGTTGGGAGGTGCTTCTAAAGGAGGGTCCTGACCATGGAAACCAAGGCCGGGGGACTCCCAGAGCTGAGCCATGGACAGCTTCAATTGCCGGAAATGTGCGCTTTCCTCTTCTGGCTTCCACCTTTCTAGGAAAAAGTTCATGATGCTGGTCTCAGGCTTTTCATGCACATCGCTCGGATGAATGGAGGGACAATGAGCACCACTCTCTTGATTGGTTGGCAGGGAGCAGGAGTCGCGGTCTAACTCAGACCAAGTCCCATCACCGGACATTCTGAGGGTGAAATGGCAAGAGGAGAAGGAGGGACTTCGGCTGGTCTGTGGTGAGGTAGGCTGGGCAGAGTCTAAAAATGTGGTCTGAGAGACAACGTCGTGGGCCCAGGATCTAGGATTTTGGGGGATGGAAGATTCAGTCCAAGGGAGTCAGCAAAAGAGGGACAGTCCCCAAGTCCAGTGCCTTGAGGCCAGACAGTCCGATGCGCTCTAGCTTGGCTCTGGCAGCCCAGGATGAAGTGGGCTCCAACAGCAGTTGGAGGAAGTGAGGTGAGAGTTCAGCCCTCCTGGTTCGTAGGTCGACGCTCAACCACTGGGCCACGCTGGCCGGGCACTCTCCATTCTTTCAACACATACTTATTGACAATTGCTACATGTAAGGCACAGGAATGCAGCATAAACAAGACCTGGCCTTATGGAGGTTCAAGTCCACTGGAGGAGACTGATGGACCAGTAAACTCATGCCCAGTTATAGCATGCCTAGTCACCTGCCTAACTAGTGTGGGACGGGGGCTGTGAATGCAGTGAGAGCCTCTCCCTCAACGTCTTGTAGTCACAGCTTCACACTTGAGAAGTGGTTCTCAAACATCTGAACCCCCTTCTGGGCTGTGAGCACCCCAAGGCCTGGAATGCTTTTGGTTTGCCTCCACTGTGTCCCTGGGGCTTGTCTCCACAGTCCATGCTAATGCATTATCTGTAGGCTAAGTGCTGAATGAGGTGGATCATGTACCCCTCCATTAGTGGTCACAGGGCTGGAAACCTGGGGGCACCCCTGACCCTTCCCAGCCCTCTGTTCTGAGCTAATCACCAGATCATGGATCCTCCTCGAAATCTACCAACTTCTGTTTCCTATACCATGTCTGGCCTGGTCCAAACTGACCTCATTCCACCCTGGATGGCTCCTCTCTTGGCACCCCCATCCGGCACTCAGAGTGATATATTTTAATAATAGAAGTGACTTCCATTAGAGAAAAAAATATAACATATGCTTGTTGTGAACATTTCAAGAGAACCGAAGTCCATAGAATACAAACAAGTAAGAGCCTCTTTCGCCCCCTCTCCCCATTATCAGTTTGGTATGTATATATCCTGCCACTCTCTTATCTCTGAGCTCATAGTTCCCTTTGTATGGGATCCCTCCCACACCCCTTGCCCTCAGCACTCCCTCTCCTTGTTTCCTCAGGCACACCCCAGTCAGCCCCCACTGGATACACCAGGGGATGAGGAGGGGCTTTTCCTTTGTTTGTACTGTTTCACATGATCACAACCAATATGTATTATTACTATTGTTTGAACTTTTTATTTTGAAATAATTATAGATTCACAGGAAACTGCAAAGACAGTACAGAGAGGACCTGTGTACCCTTTACCCCGTTTCCCCCATTGGTTACATCTTCTGTAACTACAGCACACACAGTCAGGGAATTGATATTGGTGTGAACTGTTGCTGGGGGCCCCAGCGGATCCAGGGGTTCCCAAAGGTGTGGACGGAGTCGGCGAAGAATGTTTTACACGGAGACAGCGTTCAGAACTCTCTAGCTCTCTTTAGTCTCCGTGGATCTTCCTGTGCCTGGCTGAGGCCACAGGGAAAGATCCCAAGGTAAACTGAGCCTTTATTTTATAGTCAGAGGTAAACAAGGTAGTGGTTACCAAAGTTACACTGTTATTGTGAGTTTCACTTGTTTACACCATGGTTATACTTCCTGTACTTCCTCAGCCCATTAGCTTCCCAGATAAGATCTAGGGAGTGTTATAAGGTCAAGCCTAATTATGCTAAGGTGACTGTACCCTCTAAGCCAGGAATTGTTTGTGACTTTGCCCATAGGTCAGTCCGAGGCTTAACCCTGTATCGGCTCCCTACAAACTAGTTCTTGATGATTCTGTCACATGTGTGTAGATTTGTGTGAACAGTAAGATACGGCTCTAATCAGAGATCTCTCTCTACCCTATTTTAGTCACAACTTATCCCTCTGCCCCAACCATTCCTAATTCCTGTTAGCAACTAATCTGTTTTCCATCTCTATTATTTTAATTTTGAAAAGCATAAAAAAACACAAAAAAACCCCAAAACTGAGTACCAAGACATCAATGCAAGTAAATGACAGGTGAGGAAGTGGAAGTGGTGGTGAGACTGCTTCGTGGTGAAAGGAATTATAAATGTTATATAAACTGGGCCAGGTATGGAAGCAGGTCTCCCTGCCTTGTGTGTGCTGGGCCCCTCCCCAGGCCCACAGGGGAGTGAGTAATGTCAGTGCAGGTGGACAGCACCAACCTTGCTCCTCAACCCATCCCTCCCCAGGCCCGCCCATGTGAGAACACAGGAACAGGTTACCAATAGCCCCAGCCTAGGCTATTTCCTCAGGTTCCTCTCGCCACACTGGTGGGAACTAACTGCTTTGTCTAGGGCCTGTCTCTCCCACTAATCCCTCAGCTCCAAAAGGTGGCTTCCCCAGCTCCTGGCTGAAGGACTGTTCAGTGAGGCAGGGGTACAGATAAGATGACCCTCACCCCCACTCTTGGGCTGTGGGGCAGCTCCAGCATTTATTCTGGGCCAGGTGCTCTTATAGTCCATTCCTGTTCTGAGGCTGGGTGCCTCTGCTCAGGGCTCCTTCTTACTCTGGGGGATCTGGTCAGTAGGCCAGGGGAACAGAACCCACAACCCTCGAACCCCTCCTGTAGACCAGCCCTTTACTTGGAGCACAATGTTAGGTGGCCTGGGGTCCAATATCAGCTCTGCCACTTAGCTGTGTGACTTTGGGCAAGACACTTAACCTCTCTGTGCCAACGTCCTTCTCTGTGAAATGTGGAGAATGGCATCACCTACCTCATAGTGATGTTATGGGGATTAAGAATTAATATGTGTAGAATGCTCAGAACAAGGCATGGAACACTTAAGTGCTCTATTAAAAAAATTGCCATTATTTGAAAAACGATTTTTCATAATAATTCCGTATTACCCTATAAGGCCAGCACGATCATTCCCATTTTATAGGTGAGATAACAGAAGGCTGAGGTTGAATGACTACCCCTGGGTCACAGAGAAAAATAAATGGCCACGCCAAGACTGACACGCAGGGATCAGACTTCAGGGCCTAAGTCCCTTCCCCGCTCCATGAAACAGCAGTGCATTCCGGAAGGGCCAGGCCCGTAGTCTACCTGCGCCCCAGCTTGCTTTTCAGTAAGGGAGCGGGTGGGTGCAGCAGCAGACCCTGGCTGAAGCTCTACAAAGAGGCTCAGAGTCTGACCTTTAACTGCCCCCAGATGGCCTACCAGGTGGTGGAAAAGACCGCAGCCCTGGGCGCCCTGGAGTCCGAGCTGGAGGAGCGGCAGGGC